TTTTTTTTGTAGAGGATAAGATAATAAGCAACTTGGCTAGGTTTGTGCTGATCATCTGGCTCTTTGTGGTTCTTATACTAGCCCAAATTTACACTGCCAGTCTAACATCAATGCTGACAGTTCAGCAACAACAGCCAACTATTACAGATATAAATCAGCTTCTTAAGAAAAAAGAATATGTGGGATACCTACAGGGCTCGTTTGTTTATGATCTTCTAAAACGAATGAATTTTGACGAGTCTAGACTTGTACAATACAGGTCTCTGGAGGAATTAGATACACTTTTCTCAAAAGGGAGTGGAAATGGTGGTATCGCTGCTGCTTTCGATGAGAAACCATATACGAAGCTTTTCCTGGCCAAATATTGCTCAAAATACACCATGGTTGAGCCAACATATAAGACTGATGGTTTTGCTTTTGTGTGTAACCCCCCTATCTCTCTAGCCTCCCTCCACCCCACCAAAAAGAGGTCACATTTCATTGTGCTGAGTTTACTTATTTGTAACTTTTTGACTTTCAGGTTTTCCCTATAGGTTCTCCTCTAGTACCTGACGTCTCAAGAGCAATATTAAATGTGACCGAGGGAGAGAAGATGACGGAAATCGAAAGAACATGGTTTTGGGAAAAAACTAGATGCCCAGATTCCAGCATGTCACTTTCGTCCAACAACAACAGCCTTGGGCTTGAGAGCTTTTGGGGACTTTTTTTAATAGCTGGAATAGCCGCAGTTTCTGCTCTTATAATCTATGTCATTTTGTTTCTACATGAACACTGGAATGTCTTGCGATGCTCTGATCCCGATTCCTCAATATGGAGCAAAATAGTAAAGTTACTTCGATGTTTTGACAATAAAGATCTCAGTTCTCATACTTTCAGGAACATTGGACTGACGGAGAGAAACATCTGCGGCGGTAACTGCAGGGAAAGATTAGAGAAAGTCTCATCCCATGGTAATTTCCCGCAAACTCCACAAAGCCTTTCGTTAAATACTTCTCCACATACCAACTATCCACCAAGTCCAACCTTCTCGACCCGTATAGAACAATGTTTAAGTCCTCTACAAGTGGAAGTGAATCCAGTGAAGAATGGGATGACAAATTTGCAAGCAGAAACAGTTCATGTGGTTGAACCTGAAATTGAGCTTGTGAATCCAAATCAAGATTTGCACGACTGCAGGATCCACAAATGAAAATCATGGAGTTGGTGTATACTTTTTTATCTTAACCAATGGGTGATTAATTGCCATCTTGTATTTAATTGGGAAATCTCATGAATGTCAAAAAAACAATAATATTTGATGAAGTGTATAAGGAGTTAGAGTTTACATGAAGTGAGATCGCAAAGCAAAATAATGATTTTACGATAACTTCGAGTTTGTCCCCTTTTTGGTGAATTGCTAGTCTAATTCGATTGGAAAAGGGGCAATGATCATAACTCGGCGTCTTTGGCCCTGATGTACGTCAAATTTTGGGCAAATTCCATCGTTTAGACCCTCGATTAAGTGTTTTTGCCTTTTATGATAATTTTTATTTTGGCAATATCTTATTCAATAAAATCTGGATTCATATTCCGTTTGTTGGAGGACGATCCTCAATTTTAAGAATTTCAATTTAAGTTGTTATCTCGAATTCTTCCATTTATGGAAAAATATCGTTTTTTATTTTTATTATTTATTTTTCGAATTTTACTAGGGTTTTACTATTTAAAGCATTGTAAGCCCTTTGAGACTGCAATTTTATTGAATTGAATAAAATTTCTCGTTTCATCTTTATGAGGTTATTCATCTTTCCTATAATCTTCCGCTGTATCAGTTGATATCAGAGTCGAAGTCGTTCATTCACTATGCCGCTAAAGCGACATCCAGAAGCTCGTAAAGCCCCACTAGAAGAGGTACATAGACGTAATGAAATCGTACAGCTACGTCAACAAGTGGAGTTGCTGACACAGCAAATCGCTGCACTCATGCTACAACAACATACGCATGTGGTCCAACCGGTTGAGGATTCTGACGATGAGAATCTGTTTGCACAATCTGAGCATCCAATAGACCTGTCAGTCCGACGGATGGGGGTGGTTGGGATGAAAACAGGCGTTAGGAATCATTATTCAAGGTTGATATTCCTGAGTTTCATGGTGGATTAAGTTTAGATGAGTTCTTGGATTGGGTGACTCAGTGGAGGAGATATTGAAATTTAAGGAGGTTCTTGCTGATAAATATGTACCTCTTGTTGCGACGAGATTTCATGGATGAGCAGCGGCGTGATGACAGCAGAATAAAGTGACGAGATCCAGGTTAGGGAAGTCTAAGTTTGCATCGTGGGATAAACTGAAAAAGTATATAACGAAGTAGTTTCTGCCCTACAATTATGTTCAGACCATGTATCAGCAACTGCAGAATCTGCGTCAAGACTTGAAATCAGTTAGTGACTATATCACAGAATTTTACATGTTGATTAAGAGGAATGAGGTGATGGAGATGGAGAAGCAGTTTGTGTCACGATATGTGGGTGGTCTTCGTCCCCAAATACAGGATACACTGAATATGTTTGATCCCTGACAGTTTCTGAGGCACATTAGAGGGCAATACATATAGAGAAACAGCAGTCTTAATGTCCCAAAAATCCGCTCAGAGGACTCTTTGTTGATGAGGGGTATGGAGATTATGAAGGTCCACCTATTTTTGACAATGAGGACACTGCAGAAGCCACAAAGGATGAAGAGTTCATGGTTGGCGATGTGGGTCAGACGTTGGTGGTGAGGCAAAGCTTTCTGACTCCCATAGAGAATAACATTGACTGGCTGCATAATAATATCTTCCAGTCAACGTGTACTGTTGGGGGAAGGTCTGCAGATTTGTTATTGATTCTGGTAGTTGCGAGAATGTGGTGGCTAAGGAGGTCGTTAAGAAGCTGGGTTTGCAGACTGGGAAGCATTCCAAACCGTATAAATTGGCTTGGTTGAAGAGGGACAAAGATGTAGAAGTGTCCTAGCGTGCTCGAGTTAGTTTCTCCATTGGGCGTATCTACAAAGATAAAGTTTTATGTGATGTGGTAGAGATGGATGATTGCCACTTGCTGTTAGAAAAATTGTGGCAGTTTGACCGACATTCGATGCATGATGGATATACCAACACGAACAGATTTCTGTTTGGGGGAATGAAGATTGTGTTACTACCGAATAAGGGTTCAGTAAAAATAGTTGGGGACAATGCCAATTTACTGACCAGGGCGAAGTTCGAAACAAAGATGGAGAAATCTGGGACAGTGTATTCGCTGGTGGGAAAATCGATTGACAACGAGCAGGAGGTCATTCGCAGGGTTCAGCTATTGCTAAAGAAGTTTCATCTGCATAACCTGGCGCATTACAGGATGAGCCTCACTTAACATGATGAGTTGTACAGACAAGTGGAGAAGCTTCTGGCAAAGGGGCACATCAGAGAGAGTCTTAGTCCTTGTGTTGTTCCTGCTCTCCTTACGCTGAAGAAGGATGAGATGTAGCGCATGTGCGTGGATAGTAGGGCGATCAATAAGATTACGGTGCGTTACTATTTTCGTATTCCTTGCTTGGATGATTTGTTGGATCAGCTTACCAGTACTTGCGTGTTCAGCAAGCTTGATTTGAAAAGTGAGTACCATCAGATTCGGATCAGACCTGGGGATGAGTGGAAGACATCATTTAAGATGAGGGAAGGATTATACGAGTGGTTAGTCATGCTTTTCAACCTTTCCAATGTGCATAGTACGTTTTGTTGACCTATGATTGATTTCATCCTCAATGTTTTGATTATTACAAATAAGATTAATATTGTTTCTAACAATTGATTTTGAGTGATGATAGTTCAATACTAAAATCTATCGAAAATTGCCAAAATCAACACATCATAAATCGGACTCGAAATGAATAGCAAAGTGAAAGTTCAGCATTCAAGTCAAATCATTTGAGGCAAAGTGAAAATTAAGCATTCAATTAAAATCATTTGAGATGAGAACTTAAAAGATCAAAATCAAGACTATTAAATCGGGCTCATGAAAAGGTCAAGATTGAAGTCAAGCATTAAAGTTAAACAATGAAAGAAACTTCGAAATAAGATCAAAGAATAGGGTTTCGAGATCATATGTAAAGGTATAACATTTTGATCTTTAGTAATGAATGACAAATAGTTCAAAAATTATTTTGTGCACGAAAAATTAGTTTCATTACCACTTGCATAAAATGTTTTGATCAAAAGTAAAATTGATTTTGAAAATGATGTTTGAACTTATATCATATTTTCATTCAAAATATTGTGCCAAAAAAAAATTCAACTGTCAACCAGACAGTTCGGTTTGACAGAAAAACTCCGTCGTCCGATTCATCCCCAACGATCAATATGCATTTACTTCATTGATTTCTTCATATCAAAACTTTGATTGATTTAAACTCTATTAATTATCATCTTTATCAAAGTTCTTCATCTCTCTTTTTATACTTACTTATTTCTATCATTCATAGAAGAGAGATATATTTTGAAGAAAAGTGTTGAACTTACATTGCATCAATTCTTCCACTTCTCTAAAACTTAGATTGATTGAATTAAACTTTGAAATCAACATATTCATCAAAGTTTTCACATCTAACACTCGAGCTATACTTATTGCTATTTATTGAAGAGTTAGCCTACTTCTCTCTTGATACTTAATTGTGATTATATTATTTATTAAGAGAGAAGCTTTTGCTTGTAAAAACATTCATATTGTGGTTCATATTGAGGTCCCGTAAAGCTCAATAGTGTGGGTCGTGTTGAGATCCCGAAAATCTCAACGTTGTAAAATGATCGGTACTTCTTGTTGTAAGTCACCGGAATCGTTGTAAATGGTTGGATTTTTCAATCAAAATAGTGAAAAAAGCACTACTCATGCTGGAGAGCTTGGTAACGGGGGACGTAGATCATTACATTGGATCGAACCTCCATAACATATCATTTGTATTCTCTATCCCTTTTACTTAACGCTTTCACTTTGTGCAAATTACGTTGTTCCACTTGCTCATTCGTGTTTAGTTATCTTCTACTATTTGCACTTATTATTTGATTGATCTACTTGCTTGAACTTATTTGTGATTATTAATTTATCAACGCGTTTCTTTTTATACGTGATTCATTATTCAAAAAAGTTTTAAAAACCAATTCAAGCCCCCTCTTGGTTAGTTATTATTGGGCTAACTTGTTTATGCGTGTCATGAATCAGGCTCTTCGCCTATTCATCGGTAAATTTATTGTCGTTTACTTTGATGATATTTTAATTTATAGTGCTAACGATGATGATCATGTCCAACACTTTCGGGAAGTTCTTTCAATCCTTCGCAGGGATCACTTTTATGCTATAGTGAAAAAGTGTGCATTCTTGACTGATCGTGTTGTATTTATGGGTTATGTATGTGGTATCGATTAAGGGTTTAGCAGTGGACACATCGAAAGTGGAGGCCATAAGCTAGTGGCCATAGCCTCGAACCGTTACAGAAGTGCGTAGTTTTCATGGTCTTGTTTCATTTTATCGCAGGTATATACCACATTTTAGCATTACCATGTCACCAATTACAGATTGTATGAAGGATGGCAAGTTTCAGTGGACTCCCTGGGCATAGACATCTCTTGAGTTGATTAAGCAGAAGTTGACTACTACTCCAATTTTGGTGCTGCCTGACTTTACGCAGCCGTTTGAACTGTATTATGATGTTTCGAAGGTAGGCATTGGTGGTGTGCTGAATCAGAACAACCGCCCCATTGCATATTTCAGTGAGAAGCTTTCTGGCCTGAAGTCTCAGTACAATACTTATGATGTGGAGTTCTATGCAATATTTCAGGTAGTTCGACATTAGCATTACTACCTGTTCTAGAAGGAGTTCATTTTGTATACTGATCATGATGCCCTCAAGTACCTTGGTACTCAAGATAAGGTATTTGTTTGGCATGCCTCTTGGATTGCTACTTTCATGATTAAGCACAAAGCAGGTGCCCTTAACAAAGTGGCAGATGTATTGAGTTGGCGCCAAACTCTCCTAACAGAAATGCACGTGGAGGTTCCATGTTTTGATAGTCTTTGTGAGCTATATGCTACCTTTCCATATTTCTTCCATGTTATTCGAAAGTTGCAAGAAGGTATACAGGAAGGAGTTTGCAAGGGTTGATGGTTTCCTTTTTTGTGGCAATTA